CTCTCCTCGCCTCTACATTTTCGCCTGGCGGCTGAAGAGGCGTGATGTCTCCCCCCGTTCCTGACCGCCGCTCATGTAAGCTCTTCCTCACTGCTACAGTGGGGCTGAGCCCACAGCATGCGATTACTTCGCTTGGTGAGGGAAAAACCAAGGACAGGGGCAGGTAGAGGATTACGTGATTTACTGTGGGCATTGCTCCCGGGCCATGCCAACTAACGGTTGTGTCTGACGTACCCCACCGACCGTTGGGCCTGTAGGTCATTGTCAGAGGTGAACCTGGGAAGAGGAAGACGACCGACGCAAACCAATTCGTATGACGGCTGGGTTGATCGTTTTGGTGGAGACACGACCGCATGGATGACAACGGGAAGCACTGGCCTCTGGCTGTCGACTAGTGCTGCCTCGACCCCTTCCTCTGCTGTCCACGTCAGCCGCTCCTAAAACATTTGCCATCCTCTGCACACTCCCCTGCGTGTGCTGTCTGACATTACTCTTTTAATTCAAACGATTCTGTGTCCCCCGAGTAACAATTCGGATGTCCCTGAGTACACACTTCTGTGTCGTGTCACTGAGTAAACAATTCTGTGTCCCTTCAGTAACAATTCTGTGGTCTGTCCCAGAGTAGACAATTCTGTGTCCCTCAGTTACATAGTCTGTGTCTGATCCTCTGTGTAACAATTACTGTGTCCTGCAGTAAAACAATTTCTGTGTCCCTGGAAAGTATACAATTCTGTGTCCCTCAGTAACAATTCTGGTGTCCCCTCAGTTACAATTCTGTTCGTCCCTCAGTAACAATTCTGTGTCTGTCCCCCTGTGTAACATTCGGTGTCCCCTCTGTAACAATTCTGTGTCTGTCCCCTGAGTAAACAATTCTGTGTCTGTCCCTGAGTAACAATCTGTGTCTGTCCCTCAGTACAATCTGAGTACTGTCCCTGATATCAATTCTGTGTCACTGAGTAACAATTCTGTGTCCCTGAGTAACAATTCTGTGTCCCCTCTGTTAACAATTCTGTGTCTGTCCCGTGAGTAATAATTACTGTGTCCTGTCCTCTGAGTAACTTATTCTGTGTCTGTCCCTGAGTTAACAATTACTGTTGGTCCCGTCAGTAACAATTCTGTGGTCCTCGTCATACAATTCTGTGTCTGTCCCCTGAGTAGGTAACGAATTCTTGTGTCTGTCCCAGAGTAACAATTCTGTGTCCCTCAGTAACAATTCCTGTGTCCCTCTTAGTAACAATTCTGTGTCCCTCATGTAACAATTTCTGTGTCCTGTCCCTCTGAAGTAACAATTCTATGTCCTGTCCCTGAGTAAAACAATTCTGTGTCTGTCCCTCTAGTAACAATTCTGTGTCCCTCAGTAACAAATTTCTGTGTCCTCAGTAACAATTCGGTGTCCCTGTCCCTCAGTAACAAATTCTGTGTCTGGTCCCTGTAGTAACAATTCTGTGTCCCTCAGTAACAATTCTGTCCTCCCTCAGTAACAATTCTGTGTCCCCTCAGTAACAATTCCTGTGTCTGTCCCTGAGTAACAATTCTGTGTCATGTCCCTGAGTAACAATTCTGTCTGTTCCCTCAGTAACAATTCTGTGTCCCTCAGTAACAATTCTGTGTCTGTCCCTGAGTAACAATTCTGTCTGTGTCCCTAAGTAACAATTCTGTGTCCCTGAGTAACAATTCTGTGTCCCTCAGTAAACAACTTTTCTGTGCCCTCACAGTAACGATTCCTGTGTCTGTTCCTGTGCCTAAACAATTCTGTGGCCCTGAGTAACAATTCGTGTCTGTCCCTGAGTAACGTTTCTGTGGCCCTCAAGTAACAATTCTGTGTCCCTCAGTAACAATTCTGTGTCTGGCCCTAAGTAAAACGATTCTGTGGCCCTAAGTAACGTTTCTGTGTCCCTAAGTAACGTTTCTGTGTCCCTAAATAACGTTTTTCTGGTGGCCCTAAGTAACGTTTCTCTGTGGCCCTAAGTAACGATTCTGTGGCCGCTAAGGTAACGATTCTGTTGAGCCCTAAAGTAACGTTTCTGTGGCCCTAAGTCTAACGTTTTTTCTGTGTCAGTAACGTTATCTCTGGCCCTAAGTAACGTTTCTGTGTCCCTAACTCTCTCCCTCCCCCCTCAATACAAGCCAGGTGGCCTCTCTTGAATTCTAAATGGTGATTTCTGAAATATGGCTGCAATTTATAGCTCGACCATTACACAGTGCTGGCTGGCTGCTGCTGAGATTGGCTAATAATGCGATCACATGTCCATGAATGAATGCATTATGGGTCAGCGCACCTTGTCCTGCGCGCCTTCCCAGAGTATCCCCGCTCCCTCGCGCACGCACATGTCGCCGCCATTTTTGGAAAAATTCCAAAATTTTCCTAATATTCGAAACGAATTCCACTTCGCCAAGTTCGATTCGTCATCTCATACTGATTATGTTAAATATCTGGATCCACTGTGTACTATTACTTCCCTTCTGCAATCATGCGCCATTCCCCTCACTATCCTGATTGGTCGTATACATGCCATAAAAAGTACTAAACTTCCTAAAAGCCTTTATTTTTTTTTATACGTTGCCTATTCCTAAAAGCCTTGTTTTTTTTTTTGTACATTTGCCTATTCCTGTTTCTTCCTGCGTTTATTACAAAATAAGATCCTTACTTTCATTTGGGCCTTTAAGTGACTGAGGGTCTTGCGCTTTACTATGTTTTCTCATAGACTTCAAGGGGGCTTAGGGGTTCCAAATATTAAATATTACCAGGCTGCTCACTCCACTTACTTTACTGTTTGCGACATCTGATAATCCACTTTGGAATTTTCTTGGAATCCCTAACTGTGGCCCCGGTCCAAGTCAAGACCCTGCTGTGGCTCCTTCATAAACTTCATCCTGCTACATTAAGCCCCCTTATGTTACACAATTTGAAGATTTGGGACTCAGGTTTTCAGGTGGCCTCATGTCTCCATACCTACTCCCCTAATGTCCTTGTTTAATAACCCCCCTTTTTCCCCCCAAGATTGGAATTCAGCCAACCGCCTTCAAGTGGTGGTCCGACTACGGTTTTACTCAGGTTCGTCATTTTCTTTTTTCACGACCCCCCCAGACTGAATTTTATTGCTATCTCCAACTGCATCACTAGGTATCTTCTCTTAGAGGTACCTTCGTGTTTCCCAACAGGTCATCGGTATTTGAGCATCTCTGTTGGACGTCTCCGGGCTCCCCAGGCACTATTTCCCTTCTTTACTATGCACTTAACTCTGTTTCTATTTCTTCTCTGTCTTACGTGTCACATTGGGAGAGGGACCTGGGAGCATCCATAAACCCAGATGAATGGAGTAAAGCATGGTTGATTATATCCCATTGCTCTTTTAATACGACTACTATGGAGGCTGCCTATAAAGTTCTATTGCGTTGGTATTGGGTGCTTGCTCGCATTGCATGTGCCAGTCCCAAATTTTCAGATAGATGCTTTTGTGGCTGTGGAATGTGTGGTGATGTACTCCACATTTGGTGGTCATATCCTCGTCTTGTTGGGTTATGGTCTAGAGTTTTTGGCCTTCTATACTTTCTTTCATGTTCCCATTCTGAAAGATGCAAACGCAGCATTACTTCACTGCCCAGTTATGGGTTTGTTTGCACACCAACAGAAGCTTGCCACATACATCTTTAATACCGCTAAACGGATTATTGCCAAGGCTTGGAGATCACCCTCTGTCCCTTTCTGTAAGGTTAAGCCTACTATGACCGTCCTGATGTTACATGAAAAAATGACCAGTATTGTTGATGATACTTATGCTAAATTCTTGAGATTTGGCATCCTTGGTAGACATACGAGTTGCCCAATTTTCCTCCATTGGGTTTGGGGACTCACTAATTTTTGCAGTCTCCTGGGCCTACGGGAGAAAAAATTCTATCTCTTTTTTTCTCTAATATCTGATTGTATATTTTTTGTCTTTTTTCTCTCTTTCCTTCTCTGGTTTTTTCTCTACCTCTTTTCTCAGGTTAAATGAAATGCCATTGTTTTACCATGGAAGCCGCGATAGAGCCTCGGCATCTAGGCGGCATTATATTGCTAATAATGTTCTTTAAATGTTTGGTCATCTCCTGTTACACTCCTTATTGGCGGTTTACTGTACGGCACCCCTGTGCAGGTGATCAGATGTTTGTACTACTCAGCGTTTCAATAAAACTTTTGACAAAGAAATATCTGGATCCAAATAAATAGTGTCTACCAGACAGGAAATCCAGCAAAAGCAAAAATATATTTGTGAACAAAAAGTACCAGGAGAAATGTAAGCTGTGCAGCTAAAATTGAGCCTAAATAGATCACCAAAAAATCAATTGTAGAAGAAAAGAGCTCTAAAGAAATTGTTTATGGATGTAAATCCACCAAAGAAAAAAGAAGGCAAGAAAACCAAACCATCTCAATCACAAAACATGTACCAAACAAATCATGGGCATCAAAAACCCACCATAAGTAAGCCATGTACAGCTAAAAAGCCAAAAGAGGTGCTTTTTTTATTATTATACAGTATTTATATAGCACCAACAGTTTGCTCAGCGCTGTACATTATAATGGAGACAGTACACGAGACAGCACAGTAACAATACAATAATACATGAGGGGTTTCGAGGGCCCTGCTCCTTGGAGCTTACAATCTAGGAGGGAGGGGATAGTGGTACAGGAGAAAATAGCTGTGGGGGATGGAGTGGAAGGAAGAGTGGAGGAGATCGGCAATTAGGTGAAGGCGGGGTAGGCTTACCTAAAGACATGGGTTTTCAGGGTGCGCCTAAAGGTGAGGAGTAGAGATGAGCGAAGTATTCAAAAATTCGATTTGGCTGATTCGGCGAATTCGCGGAATAAATTCGATTCGAGTCGAATATATTCGCTGCGAATTTAACTTATAAAAAGGGTGTTTCTAGGCTTCAGAGAGCCTTTATATTAGTGCAGAACACTGTACCTTTAATTTAAATGCCCTTGGAGTCTGCTGGGGAAGAGAAATAATACTGTCAGTCAGTATCACATGCAGAGGAGTGCCGTCGATCTTAGAATCACCGCACACTTCACTCATTTGGGCAGTCACGGGGCCAAAACCAGAGGGTGGAGCCACAGTGTGGCGGTGGAGGCAGCAGCAATGGGAGGCCATACAGCACCCTATGACAAAATGGAACCCACCAGCAGTGTGAGGAGACCTGAAAGTGGCACATGGCAGAGTGTGGCGATGGAGACAGAAGCAATGGGAGGCCGGCCGTACAGGGACCCATGAGACACTCTGGACCTGGCAGCAGCATGAGGAGGCGGTACGGGGGCCCATGGCAGATTACGGGCCTGGCAGCAGCAATGGGAGGCCCGTAATCTGCCAGCACCCTATGACAAAATGGAACCCACCAGCAGTGTGAGGAGACCTGACAGTGGCACACATGGCAGAGTGTGGTGATGGAGACAGCAGCAATGGGAGGCCGTACAGGGACCCATGACACACTCTGGACCTGGCAGCAGCATGAGGAGGCGGTACAGGGGCCCATGACAGATTACGGGCCTGGCAGCAGCAATGGGAGGCCCGTAATCTGCCAGCACCCTATGACAAAATGGAACCCACCAGCAGTGTGAGGAGACCTGAAAGTGGCACATGGCAGAGTGTGGCGATGGAGACAGCAGCAATGGGAGGCCGTACAGGGACCCATGACAGATTACGGGCCTGGCAGCAGCATGAGGAGGCGGTACAGGGGCCCATGGCAGATTACGGGCCTGGCAGCAGCAATGGGAGGCCCGTAAATCTGCCAGCACCCTATGACAAAATGGAACCCACCAGCAGTGTGAGGAGACCTGAAAGTGGCACATGGCAGAGTGTGGCGATGGAGACTGCAGCAATGGGAGGCCGTACAGGGACCCATGACAGATTACGGGCCTGGCAGCAGCATGAGGAGGCGGTACAGGGGCCCATGGCAGATTACGGGCCTGGCAGCAGCAATGGGAGGCCCGTAATCTGCCAGCACCCTATGACAAAATGGAACCCACCAGCAGTGTGAGGAGACCTGAAAGTGGCACATGGCAGAGTGTGGCGATGGAGACAGCAGTGGGAGGCCGTACAGGGACCCATGACAGATTACGGGCCTGGCAGCAGCATGAGGAGGCGGTACAGGGGCCCATGACAGATTACGGGCCTGGCAGCAGCAATGGGAGGCCCGTAATCTGCCAGCACCCTATGACAAAATGGAACCCACCAGCAGTGTGAGGAGACCTGAAAGTGGGACATGGCAGAGTGTGGCGATGGAAAACAGCAGCAATGGGAGGCCGCACAGGGACCCATGAGACACTCTGGACCTGGCAGCAGCATGAGGAGGCGGTACGGGGGCCCATGGCAGATTACGGGCCTGGGAGCAGCAATGGGAGGCCCGTAATCTGCCAGCACCCTATGACAAAATGGAACCCACCAGCTGCCTCGACCCCTTCCTCTGCTGCCACGTCTGCTCGCTCCTGAAACATTGCCTCCTCTGCCACTCCTCTGCGTGTTGTCTGACATACTCTTTAATTCAACGATTCTGTGTCCCTGAGTAACGATTATGTGTCCCTGAGTAACAATTCTGTTTCTGTCCCTGAGTAACAATTCTGTGTCCCTCAGTAACAATTCTGTGTCCCTCAGTAACAATTCTGTGTCTGTCCCTGAGTAACAATTCTGTGTCTCTCAGTAACAATTCTGTGTCCCTCAGTAACAATTCTGTGTCACTCAGTAGCAATTCTGTGTCTGTCCCTGAGTAACAATTCTGTGTCCCTGAGTAACAGCTCTGTGTCCCTGAGTAACAATTATGTGTCCCTGAGTAACAGTTCTGTGTCCCAGAGTAACAATTCTGTGTCCCTGAGTAACAATTCTGTGTCCCTGAGTAACAATTCTGTGTCCCTCAGTAACAATTCTGTGTCTGTCCCTGAGTAACAATTCTGTGTCCCTCAGTAACAATTCTGTGTCCCTCAGTAACAATTCTGTGTCTGTCCCTGAGTAACAATTCTGTGTCCCTTAGTAACAATTCTGTGTCTGTCCCTGAGTAACAATTCTTTGTCCCTCAGTAACAATTCTGTGTCCCTCAGTAACAATTCTGTGTCCCTCAGTAACAATTCTGTGTCTGTCCCTGAGTAACAATTCTGTGTCCCTGAGTAACAATTCTGTGTCCCTCAGGAACAATTCTGTGTCTGTCCCTGAGTAACAATTCTGTGTCCCTCAGTAACAATTCTGTGTCCCTCAGTAACAATTCTGTGTCTGTCCCTGAGTAACAATTCTGTGTCCCTGAGTAACAGTTCTGTGTCCCTGAGTAACAATTCTGTGTCCCTGAGTAACAATTCTGTGTCCCTCAGTAACAATTCTGTGTCCCTCAGTAACAATTCTGTGTCCCTCAGTAACAATTCTGTGTCTGTCCCTGAGTAACAATTCTGTGTCCCTCAGTAACAATTCTGTGTCCCTCAGTAACAATTCTGTGTCTGTCCCTGAGTAACAATTCTGTGTCCCTGAGTAACAGTTCTGTGTCCCTGAGTAACAATTCTGTGTCTTTGAGTAACAGTTCTGTGTCCCTGAGTAACAATTCTGTGTCCTTCAGTAACAATTTCTGTGTCCCTCAGTAACAATTCTGTGTCTGTCCCCTGAGTAACAATTTTGTGTCCCTCAGTAAACAATTCTGTGTCCCTCAGTAACAATTCTGTGTCCCTCAGTAACAATTCTGTGTCCGTCCCTGAGTAACAATTCTGTGTCCCTCAGTAACAATTCTGTGTCCCTCAGTAACAATTCTGTGTCTGTCCCTGACTAACAATTCTGTGTCCCTCAGTAACAGTTTCTGTGTCCCTGAGTAACAATTCTGTGTCCCTGAGTAACAGTTCTGTGTCCCTGAGTAACAATTCTGTGTCCCTGAGTAACAATTCTGTGTCCCTCAGTAACAATTCTGTGTCCCTCAGTAACAATTCTGTGTCCCTCAGTAACAATTCTGTGTCCCTCAGTAACAATTCTGTGTCTGTCCCCTGAGTAACAATTCTGTGTCCCTGAGTAACAATTCTGTGTCCCTCAGTAACAATTCTGTGTCCCTCAGTAACAATTCTGTGTCTGTCCCTGAGTAACAATTCTGTGTCCCCTCAGTAACAATTCTGTGTCCCTCAGTAACAATTCTGTGTCTGTCCCTGAGTAACAATTCTGTGTCCCTGAGTAACAGTTCTGTGTCCCTGAGTAACAATTCTGTGTCCCTGAGTAACAGTTCTGTGTCCCTGAGTAACAATTCTGTGTCCCTGAGTAACAATTCTGTGTCCCTCAGTAACAATTCTGTGTCCCTCAGTAACAATTCTGTGTCTGTCCCTGAGTAACAATTCTGTGTCCCTCAGTAACAATTCTGTGTCCCTCAGTAACAATTCTGTGTCCCTCAGTAACAATTCTGTGTCTGTCCCTGAGTAACAATTCTGTGTCCCTGAGTAACAGTTCTGTGTCCCTGAGTAACAATTCTGTGTCCCTGAGTAACAGTTCTGTGTCCCTGCATAACAATTCTGTGTCCCTGAGTAACAATTCTGTGTCCCTCAGTAACAATTCTGTGTCCCTCAGTAACAATTCTGTGTCCCTCAGTAACAATTCTGTGTCTGTCCCTGAGTAACAATTCTGTGTCCCTCAGTAACAATTCTGTGTCCCTCAGTAACAATTCTGTGTCTGTCCCTGAGTAACAATTCTGTGTCCCTGAGTAACAGTTCTGTGTCCCTGAGTAACAATTCTGTGTCCCTGAGTAACAGTTCTGTGTCCCTGAGTAACAATTCTGTGTCCCTCAGTAACAATTCTGTGTCTTTCCCTGAGTAACAATTCTGTGTCCCTGAGTAACAGTTCTGTGTCCCTGAGTAACAATTCTGTGTCCCTCAGTAACAATTCTGTTCCCTGAGTAAAAATTCTGTGTCCCTCAGTAACAATTCTGTGTCTGTCCCTGAGTAACAATTCTGTGTCCCTGAGTAACAATTCTGTGTCCCTCAGTAACAATTCTGTGTCCCTCAGTAACAATTCTGTGTCCCTCAGTAACAATTCTGTGTCTTTCCCTGAGTAACAATTCTGTGTCCCTGAGTAACAGTTCTGTGTCCCTGAGTAAACAATTCTGTGTCCCTCAGTAACAATTCTGTGTCCCTGAGTAAAAATTCTGTGTCCCTCAGTAACAATTCTGTGTCTGTCCTGAGTAACAATTCTGTGTCCCTCAGTAACAATTCTGTGTCCCTCAGTAACAATTCTGTGTCCCTCAGTAACAATTCTGTGTCTGTCCCTGAGTAACAATTCTGTGTCCCTGAGTAACAAATTTCTGTGTCCCTCAGTAACAATTCTGTGTCCCTGAGTAACAATTCTGTGTCCTTGAGTAACAGTTTGTGTCCCTGAGTAACAATTCGGTGTCCCTGAGTAAAGCAATTCTGTGTCCCTGAGTAACAATTCTGTGTCTGTCCCTGAGTAACAATTCTGTGTCCCTCAGTAACAATTCTGGTGTCCCTCAGTAACAATTCTGTGTCCCTGAGTAACAATTCTGTGTCCTTGAGTAACAGTTCTGTGTCCCTGAGTAACAATTCGGTGTCCCTCTGAGTAACAATTCTGTGTCCCTGAGTAACAATTCTGTGTCCCTCAGTAACAATTCTGTGTCCCTCAGTAACAATTCTGTGTCTTTCCTGAGTAACAATTCTGTGTCCCTCAGTAACAATTCTGTGTCCCTCAGTAACAATTCTGTGTCTGTCCCTGAGTAACAATTCTGTGTCCCTGAGTAACAGTTCTGTGTCCCTGAGTAACAATTCTGTGTCCTTGAGTAACAGTTCTGTGTCCCTGAGTAACAATTCGGTGTCCCTAAGTAACAATTCGGTGTCCCTAAGTAACAATTCTGTGTCCCTCAGTAACATTCTGTGTCTCTCAGTATCAATTCTGTGTCTTTCCCTGAGTAACAATTCTGTGTCCCTCAGTAACAATTCTGTGTCCCTCAGTAACAATTCTGTGTCTGTCCCTGAGTAACAATTCTGTGTCCTTGAGTAACAGTTCTGTGTCCCTGAGTAACAATTCTGTGTCCCTGAGTAACAGTTCTGTGTCCCTGAGTAACAATTCTGTGTCCCTGAGTAACAATTCTGTGTCCCTCAGTAACAATTCTGTGTCCCTCAGTAACAATTCTGTGTCTGTCCCTGAGTAACAATTTTGTGTCCCTCAGTAACAATTCTGTGTCCCTCAGTAACAATTCTGTGTTCCTCAGTAACAATTCTGTGTCTGTCCCTGAGTAACAATTCTGTGTCCCTCAGTAACAATTCTGTGTCCCTCAGTAACAATTCTGTGTCCCTCAGTAACAATTCTGTGTCTGTCCCTGACTAACAATTCTGTGTCCCTGAGTAACAGTTCTGTGTCCCTCAGTAACAATTCTGTGTCCCTGAGTAACAGTTCTGTGTCCCTGAGTAACAATTCTGTGTCCCTCAGTAACAATTCTGTGTCTGTCCCTGAGTAACAATTCTGTGTCCCTGAGTAACAATTCTGTGTCCCTGAGTAACAGTTCTGTGTCCCTGAGTAACAATTCTGTGTCCCTGAGTAACAATTCTGTGTCCCTCAGTAACAATTCTGTGTCCCTCAGTAACAATTCTGTGTCTGTCCCTGAGTAACAATTCTGTGTCCC